ATTGTTTACGTCATGAATAATCAAAACTGTAACTTAGGCGATGAGTAAGTTTAGACTAAGGTTACGTAATATGAAAATATTCATCATGAGTTCAGCTCATGCTCCGTCCAATCAAACAAAATCCCTACAAAACCAATACTTGAAACTTCTTATCTCTCTATGTTCATTCATCTAATTTCTCTTGAATATTTTCATATTACGTAACCTTACTCATCGCCCAAGTTACAGTTTTGATTACTCACCACAACTTTGAAATATTTCGATGACGTAAACAATAAACCCAAATTAGTTTTTATTTTTGTTTGACAAACCTAATCTACATACATACAGAAAATAATTAATTTTATAATTACGATCATATAGCTAATTGAATGAATTCACGACCGGTAAAAAGAAGACTCTTCTCACTGAACTCCTTGTTCTCATTAGATGTCTGTCTGTCTGTCTGTTTTCGACATAGAACTTTGCACAAATGTGCGGAAGTTCAAGTCGCCACACTCCGTGTAGCACGCGAAGCAAGAGAAGAAAGTGCAAGAAAAGCATAATAGAAACAGTGAGCAGAGGTGTGAGACAAAGGAGTAATAACGAAGAACAAAACAGTTTCATTGGAGATCATAAGTCACAAGGAGTGGATGTATCTGCGCCACTGAGAACGATTTCGAGCCATGTCACCAACTGTTTCCAACCATAGATTTTTATAGTCCCGAGGACCCCAGCCTGGAAGTCTGCACCTTCCTACGTGGCTTAGACCAACTGTTGTGGATTTCATTGACTGATGCCAAGTTTTTGTTTGACCGCCGCTAGCTTTTTTCCAGCCTGACTTATATGTACCCACATATATATTTATGTGTGTGTGTGCATGTTGGTCTCTTTCTGTTTGCTCGGTTAGTCTGTGACCACTTCACTTGTATGGACTTGTCTCCTTTAATAATGTGTATTCTCCTTATATTATATTATATATAATATGAGTGTTTGTTGACAGTCCGTTGCTTGGTGACATATATCCATATATGTTTGTTGGCATGTCTGCTATATTCGCTATGTATAATTGGATCGACACTCCATTATAATTAGCCATTCATGTTAAGACTGTCTAATGATTTTCCCACGCTTGTCTGAATTATTTATATATATTCGCATTCACAATTTGTGTGAACTACCTTACTTTACAACTACTTGACTTGCTTACCACTTTGGTGTGAGACCATTTATTTTCGTCTCCTTGTGTTTGGACAATAGAAGTATCATCACAAACCTAGTGGTCTTCTGATTTCCGCCTTCTCGCGTCAGGACTATTAGTTTCTCGACCAGTCCATAACAATAATTTAGCGACGAGTACATAACACTGACCCTATATCCGCTAACATTGCTCGTCGAGGGAGGCGATGACTAGGCATACGTAACACATGTCCTAACCATCTCAGTCTTTGTAACTTCACGACTTTGTCGATTGATTTCCCCTGTTTACCTAGAACTCTGCGCCTAACCTCAATGTTGCTCACCTTATTATGCCACTTTACACGGGAAATAGAGCGCAGGCACCTATGATCAAAGACAGCTAGTCTTTTCATGTCTTCCACTCTCAGTGGCCAGGTCTCACAACCGTAAAGGAGGACAGAGCGGACTGATGAGCAGTACACCCGCCCTTTGGTCGATAGTCGAACATCTCGTCTACTCCAGAATCGGCGTAAACTGGCTAATGCGAAACGATCATTAGATTACGTCAATTTCATTAGATGTGAAATTGACGTAATCAATGTAAGTGTAGGATAAAGTGACCAGGAGGAGAGCAAGAACGATGGTAAAACTTTTACATGATGATATCTACAAGAGGAGAGAATGAAGTCAGCATTAATAAGAGAATAATAATAAGGTAACAAAAATTAGACAGTTATTTTGGGAATATTATGATGAGGCGAGAGAGAGAGAGAGAGAAAGTGAAAGTTTTTCTTTAGAATACGCAGACATCGGGTCTTAGGTACTGAATCCAAGTGTACATAGATATAACAACAAAATCCCTACAAAACCAATACTTGAAAATTAATCTGTTGCTCACTAGCGACTGGCCCTATTCAGGCAGTTTACCCGGGGTTCTAGTGGAAAGCCGTGGCGAGTAAGGTACAGCAGGTTGAAGATGAGGGAGTAACTCATCGAAGAAGACATTGCGAAATGATCACGCTATGTTGTGAATCGGCAGAAGTTAGAATTCATGGGTCATTGGATCGGGTCCCAGTGCCCCAATAGTCTACGAGCTCACGTTGTAACCTGAAGGTCCTGAGTTCACACCCTGGTGGGTGCGTACTGGTGAAGAGTCCCAAACTAGGCTGACGAAACAGCTGTCCAGTACTCCCAGCTGGTTTTCCAGTTGTTCTCTAACTGATGTCAGCTCATGATGAAATCCTCCATAGAGATAAGTATGAAAATGAATTAAGTAGGAGGTGAAAAAACTAAATCGAAGGTTAGTTAAAAAAATGATGATACTAAATGTCATACAAAAATGTTCAAACTATTGACAACAGTTGTACTTTGAATTACATCCAAGGTAGGGGGGAAGGCATGTAGTAGTTTTTTTTGTGCATAGAAATCAGGGCTTTCCATCCGAATAGTTATGGCCCAGACAATGCAAAGCCTACGGAAGCTTACCGTTTTCATAGGATTTCTTTTGACTTTTTAGATAATGTGTAATGAATTCTCTTTGCATATTTAGTAGACAGTGTTAAATATTTGTTTGATTTTAGTATCTATTGAGTAATGCGACTCCTAGATTATTTGTCTTGATTACTCTTCTCATTAAGTGAAATACTGTTTTTCGGGAATGTACTGAGAGAGTTAGAGAAATTCCTACTGAATATAAATATGATTGTACAACCTATTTTGTGTTTACAATCTATGGCAGATTGCTAAGGTTAAGGTATTCAAACACATAGGCTTATGTGAGTAATGAACTTCAGTTTGTACACAACTAATGTTATCATGCAAATTTTGAATAGCTCATTAAAACTTAGTGTCATTGCAGTATTTTTTTTAAATGGTTCGTAGAAAGCATTTACATTAATCTAGATTATCGCTTACTAGCTAGGTTGATTTCATCTTAACAATATTTCGATGGGTATTTTACCTCATCAGTAGTAGTCTTTACCTAGGTGTTGGTTCAACTTACACACACTTTAACTTGTTCGAACCATTCAAATTCTAACTAACCGTTTTGTCTAGAGATGAGTGGTTTCTAATTTCTGAGAAATACACAATCTGAGGTAATGTTGTAAAATAATTACTTGTAGAAATCATAACTATTCAAGTTACTTAAACTAATTAGTGTTCTACTTCAAGAATTCAACTTACTCTTTTTTTAATGAGTTTTCTACAGGAGCTATAAATGCCGACAACTCATTTACATAGTAAGCTTTACTTTGTTCAAGTCTATTCCAGTTGTACACAAATACATAGACACAGAGAGATAGACGTCTCAGGTGAATAAATGATAACCAAACTTGACTGCTTTCCTACAAGCCTTTTTAAGGTATATAACGTGAATTCGATTTATTTGTAAATGCAAAAATTTATCTAATTCCAAAACACATATTTTTCCTTAATTCTATTATAGAATTGTGTACATTGTTTTAATTTATCAATTTCATTCATTTGAAGCATTGAACATTGAACTGTTTCTAACATAATTTAAAATTTATCAAATGAACTATGTATGTATGCCGATAAATTAATTGTTTTTCTGAAGAAAAAAAGTTACAAATAGAGGAAATAAATAATAATTATTGTCAGGAGCTAACATTTTCAAAGATTTTGTTTTAATATATATATATATATATATTTGCAGCTGTACTTTATGATTTTTGTTGCGGTTAAATTTAATTTTTTTCTCACTTGAAATATTCTGCAAGTTTCAAAGTGATGTTGATTGTCTGGTAAAGCTAACTAGTCGGTTCAAATTTGTGTTTTATGGTTGGTTACTTGAAATGAAGTTAACTGAACTGCTAATTATTTGCTTTCTTGACTCCAGTCAGTCTCGCATTTTTTGGATGAATATTGTTTTAAGAAGGATTCACCGAAACAGCACTGATACATCAATATTTGTATTAATTTATTTGTCTACCTTATATATATATACCATCACTATTAGCTTTCTTAAGATATCATTCAGTAATTTAAAAGTACTACTTATAATCGCCTTGAGTAGATTGAAAGGATAGACAGGCGTTTAAGTTGACTAGTATCAGACTATTTTGAGGGCTTATTGTGTATAGAAATCTATTGCTCGATAAGTATACAAAAGGAAATAATGATTGATTGAACCTACACCTAGGTGATCGTTAAATGACATCATATTCTAGACGCCGGAGTGGTGAAATCGAAACAGGAAACGACGAGTTGAGTATTAGTCCGAGCGTGTTATATGCAGGAGGTCATGTAAAGAGAAGATTAGTGCTGATGGACAATCGTGTGTAGCCAGCTAAAATCCGTAGCAGAGGTCAGGGTGACCCAAGGGAATAATAATAATCTCATCATGAAATTACATCGGTTAGAAAACTATTGGACAGCTGTTTTTTCCAAGTTTGGGGCCCTTCATCAGTATGCATCCACTGGGTTTCCAAACTAGGACGAGACAACTGTCCATTACTCACAGGTTTGCCAATAGTTCTCTAAGCAATATCAGTTCATGATGAAATACTGAAACTAACCAAATCCCTGCAAAGCAACTTTTGGTTAATGATAGTATTGTGTATAGGTGTTTGTGTGTATGAGGGTTAATTTATACTAACCCAGTTGTTCGAACTGGGTTAGGTGGAGTCGTGAGATTTAAACCTGAAAATTGTTAGCAGAAAATTTTAATGGTAAAGGCCATTCAGTTGCATCAAGTTGCTTTGTGACATTAATGCTTTGTAAACTGTTCAAATGATAAATAAATATTTTCATTTTTGATTCTTAAGGGGATCAGCAATAATGGCTTTTTTTCTTTCTTATATTTACCTTTTATCTTTCAGATGTCCATCAGTTTTACGCCTATTCCTGCGTATTCTTGAATCAAGTCTTCTAGCCTCTAGATCATACTGGGCACATCGACTTATTGATCGGGTTCAATCTGTACGTGGAACAAATTCGAGTAATTCAACTACAAATATCACGTCGTCATCGTCGTCTGCAACTACACCAGCGGCAGCAATGATGATGATGACGACATCAGCGTTCGCCTCAGTAAATTCGACTAATGCAACTGAAACATCTACAGTTTCTCCCTCTTCTTCTTCTTCTGCGTCTCTTACTACTGCCACTTCTATATCGAATACTACTGATCCATCTAACCAAGATACACTCAATACAACAACTACTACAAATTATTCAAAATTTATTAGTAGTTCTTCCTCCTCTTCTAAATTTACTGATCTAGGACAACATCAGGGGACTATGATGACTACTAATGCTGCTGGTGCTGCTGCTGCTTCTAACATCACTGTTACAACTTGTACAACAGTAACTGCTACAATCAATGCTGCATCTAATACTGTATCATCATCAACACAGTTACTCACTAGTGGTAATAACAAAGCAAATATCTCTCCACAGTTATTAGTAAATAATGAAGATTGTGAACGTCTGTGCTCTAGTATGCTGCTAACACAAGATTCAGCTGTTGTTCAATTATTACTGGAATATTGTTTACCTACAGAAGATGAAAAAGTGAGTTCAGTTGTCCGTTATTTAATTGTCAACTACTATTATTATCTTCTAAACGTCAATGCGACGTCCGTGGTTCAATAGTAGAATGTTCGCCCTCTACGGAAGTGGTCCGGGTTCATTTCCTGGTCGACATACTCCTAAACTTCACCTTGTTAGTTGACTAGCTGTTAGTAAGTCTAGAAAAGGGAGAGATTTAATTGTGAGGCTAATTAACTATACGGCACCTTGAAAGTTTGAGGCCCTATGTTTCACTCAGAATACGACAAAATGAGCAAGTTTGATGATGGTCACACACAGTTTTACAATTTAACGTAATCAGATTTATTAAAGTTTCCACACGAATGTCTGTAGGTAGTAGAGTAATTAATTATCCGACTGAGTGGCTTGTTACAAACTATGTTCAGAGACTAGTATTGTCATAACAGCTTCATTTCGACGTAGAAAATAGTAGAGATTCCTAGAATTCCATTATGGGTAAAATTTATTTTGATAAAGTCTCACAGTATTGCATAAAGTACTCTTTGCTGATTATGTTTCGAGCACAATTTGTTACTGCTCATAAACACATAAAGTTACTGACACAACTTCCTGACCTCGTTTATATAATTTTATTATTTTTCATCTCTAGATTTGATTGGTAGTAGTGTTTTCCGGTATCTCTGGTATCAGTGACGAGTCATTCCTATTGTATGTGTTGGGTGTAGATTCGATGAACAAAGATTCAGTAATCAACCTCTGTGCCCACCTACCAATACTACTTTTTAGAATTTTGACCCTATCCCACCACCCTATTGTGTGGTTGTATGTTAATGCATGCAGTGCAATTGCTGAGCTTTTTCTAAATTACTTATCTTTACGGAGTCGACCATTCTACCACAGTGCCCAAGTTTCATACTTATATCAATAAATTCTTATGTTCTGGCGATCTGACTGCTCCTGATCTACTGGTTTGACCTTTATAGTTGACTTAACTCACAGTCATTGCAGGGTATTTTGTAAATTATATTATTTTGTCTAATTGGGTTAACTGGGCCCTTCAGCCTACAGACTTCCCCCTGAGTAGATTCTTTAGGTTTATTAATTTGTCTACCTTATATATATATATATATATATATATATATATATATATATATATGCCACTCTAATCCGTGCTTTATTAAGAATTAAGGATTCTCATCACTCCTACCGGGAATATGGAAAATACTACTACTAGTCAAGTCATACAATGAAAAATAATGGAATTATACTAAACAAAGTTAGAAAGCTGTGTGGGTACTTTGATATGATTATGAACGATAATAAATTGTGCTCGAAGCGTTGTCATCAGTGAATATTACTGTATAACACTGTGTGAGACTTTATCAAAATAAATTATACCCACAATGAAATTATACTCTACCACAGTGCACAAGTTCTATTCTTCTATCAGAGATTCAGTGTTTCCTCAAATTTCGGTTTGAACCACGTAAAAAGATGTATAATTTTTGACTGTAAGGTCTTTGAGGGTACTAAGGTTCGAAAAGTTTATGAAGTGCTTCAAGATCGCTCACTCCTTAAAACCATGGAGATTGTGAAAATGTCCATTCTTTTTAGTCTAATTTCCCCCCCTCCCCCACCGTTGCCGTACATCTCCGTTAATTGTAGCTTCATCACATTCATTTTCTCTACTTTTCTAAGTACTGCTTTGAAATGTGTTAAATTGAAACTGCTTAGTTGTCCGTTCACATGTATAAACCAAGTACTTAGCTAAAATAAAAGAGGAAAAAAGGAAGAAATGCAGTGTAGTTATAGTGAGCGGGAATCTATGGGAGACAAAATCATAATAATAATAATAATTTATTCAGTGTACGAGCTCATAAAGAGTGATTTACGACATTCTGAGCCATTTTTACCCATATCACCCACATCCCTCTAGCCTCAAAGACTTTAACCAAGCAGTATACACCCCCTCACGTGTATGAATCTAGCCGTTAAAAAATTTGTTTGTAGTTCGACCACGGATCGATATCAGCAAGAGAATCATTGAAAACCATGGCGTACTGGACACTTGTTTCGTCATAGTTTGGGACTCATCGCCAGTACACACCCACTGGAGGTTGAATCTAGGACCTTCCAGTCGGTTACAAGATAGACTCATAAACCGTTCAGTCACTCAATGGCTAGTCCAAGAATTCTAACTTCTACCAACCCTTGATTTTAGTGCAACCGCCAGCCAATGTTATCTCTGGCGAGTATTTGTCCTCATTCGAGACCGAATGGACCCCACCGGCCACTTCTCACTAGAAATCCAGCCAAGTTTGTCCATGAAGCTAGCTAGTCACTAGCAAGCATCAGATTAATTTTCCAATGATTCTCTAACTGATATCAATCCGTGGTCAAACTTAAAAGACAAATCAAATCCCTACTAACTACTAACACTTGAAAAATAAGACATTTCATGGATCGATTTCACTTCTTATGCTTTCCCAACGCAACTGCATGTCAGCTGTTACTGGCTGATGACGAAGGAGGTGGCTTAGTCTGCATAACATACGTTCAAGGCACCTCTATTGATACAGCTTCACAACCTCATCGATTGACTTTCCCTCTCCACCTAAATCTTCACTCTCATAAAACCAATGGAATTGTGTCTTTATCCTGTTTTGGTGGAATGGTTAGAGATTTCCACCTTCACGCATTGGGGACTAAGTCTTAAAAGGTTTTAGAAAGAAATCTGTGAATATCATCACTCATTGCGCAGTGTGGGCACAACTAACTGAAGAGTTGCAAGTGGGACGAAACAGACCTGACATAGTCTACAGCCAACCACTTCTAAATAAGTAGTTTTTGTAATGCTTAGATTATATTGTTTAATAGGAATGAGTCATCATCCATACCAGAAATATGGAAAATATTACTACCAATTATCAAATCAAGAGATGAGAAATGGTGAAGTCATATAAACTAAGTTGGAAAGTTTTGTGAATAACTTGATATGATTATGAACAATAATAAACTGTTCTCGAACAGTGGTTATCAGTAAATACTACTGTTTAACACTGTGTGAGACTTTATCAAAATAAATTATGCCCTACTACAGTGCACAAGTTCTAATACTCTTTCAATTATTCATTTTCACATGTGTGTTTTATTTTTTTTCGTGGTTTATTTATAGAAAGTTGGTTCAGAAATTAGCATTCTACGAGAGATACGCATTATAATTTGTACATTTATACATTCATTGTTCATTGCTCAACCTGTTCTCGCTGAAATTATTGTCTGGCAAGTAAGTAGAGTTTTTTGATTTTCTTTTTTGTAAAATCTTTTTTTTCATGAAAAATTATAATTTTTTTTAAATTCACTTTTTTGTTTTAAGGGAAATAATTTTAATTTTCCTTTAGGTGTTTTTTTTTTTAACTTGATGGACTGTTAGTCTTGACTGTTGAAAGAGAAGTCTTAATTAAGCTGATAACTGACAACGTGCTATGAAATAACTTAATGCAGATTCTTTTGAGTTGGTTTGTCTATTATTATGAAATATTTACTACTATATAATAGAACTCCCACCTGATATGTTGCACCTCAGCTGGTATAGTTTCTCACTGAGATGCTCGGAACTTCATGTCGAAAAAAGGTTCGGGTGGTGGTAATCTTGCAGAAGAATACTGCGAGTGAAAAGACAGGCATACGTTGGACCAGCAGCAAAACTCTAGAAAATCTAAACCTCGTGGATGATTTACGTCTAATGTCGCACAAAATGGAAGACTTATAGGAGAAAACCAACAAACTGGCAGAAGAAGCAGCATAGCGAAGAGGAAGGTGATGAAGATAACTAACCAACAGCAACAGCAACTAGCACCAATCACTGTCAACAGGAGTAATTTGAATGAAGTCACTTTTTTCACTTCATTGGGCAGCATCGGTTCAACTACAGGTGGCACAGATGAGAACCTCAAAAGCATAATGAGAAAAGTAAGATAGTTTTTTTACTGCTGCACTTAGAATAAAAACAAGATTCGAAGTTTCAACACTAATTTAAAATCGGTCACTTCTTCCATATGGTCCAGAGACTTGACGTGTCATCAAAAACATTTCCGACAGACTAATGATTTTCATGAACAACTGTCTTCTCTATCTCGATACTGAAGTTTAGATGTCTAGAAATGCTAAGTAACAAAAGAACTTCGGCAACGAAGCAAACAATAACCCATTGCTAGACAAATATTCAGAAAGAAATGGAGATGGATGAGTCGCACCCTGAGGAAAACTTTGAGTGACATCACGCTCCAGACCTTCGACTGTAAGCTGAATGAGAAACGAATAATTGTCTGTCAGACTGTGACATGGAGGAGACGAGAGCATATGAGCGATCGTGGAGCTAGCTGAAAATACCCGCAGATAATCGAATAAAATCACACTGTGCTGCTGAAGCTCCATGTTCCACTAGTGATCCAAGTTAATTGTAATATGTAAATAATAAGTGGTTTTGGGATATATGTATATATGGTTGGCAAAATATGATGCGAAAAGAAACTTTGTTCCGTTTAATCCAGTTTGCCTGTGTTTATTTCCCCTACTTTGATTTGTCTCCATTCTTTTGCTTTGGGAAATGGAGAAAAAATGTTTTATTTTATTGTTCATCTGCATGATAGTCTATAGCGCTTTTTCAGGAAGACAGTACTTCATCATTCTCCGCACATTGTCCTGTTCACATTTTTATTTGTCGAAGAAGAACAGAAAAAGAATGAAGTCGTATATATATATATATATATATATATATATATATATATATATATATATATATGCATTCAAGAAATAATCATTATTTCGTGCGACATCCCTTTGACTCTGTAGATACTGATATTTTAAATGTCAAGCTGTAAATTTCTTTTCCGCCTATCGGTTGCGTAAATCCAAAATGAAAACTGCTGATTTTCTTCTGCGAATGCGGAATTGTGTGTTTGTTTGTGTATGTGTGTGTGCAGCGTTCCACGAATTATTGACCTGAGAGATAGTATCTTATTATTGCTACTACTGCTCTAACCGGAATAGACAAGAGACTTGGTAACGGAGTGTTTACTTGTAATCTGACAGACGCATATAGGGAAATTATGTATGCCATGAATATATTCATTATTTTATTTGCACAACTCTTCGGTGTCGTGCTACTTCTGCCCTTCTTATTGTGTTGCTTTGACTTCTTTTCGTGTGTCCCATGTTTCGCCGTAACACTGATTCTTTTCTTCACTTTGACATCAAATTCATTTCTTTGCTATTTAATATTTTTATACCAATGAACGAGTCTTTATATACTGCTGATAAATCTTTTCAGTAGTACGCACCACATTACTACCACTTATATATTGCTACGGGGCTCAGACGGTGGTGGTTAGGGTGTCATTCAAGTGTTGATATCTTGTTTTCTCATATCACACTTAGAAAAAAATTACACAACTAGTTTATTGTTTCCTGTGTACACTGACTTGATCATACGCTTATCAAAAGTAGATATTTCAAATCGGAAGAAGTAACTCAAGATTTTACAACAAAAATACACAAATATGCAAATTTTTGACTATCTCTCAGATACTAACGATGTAAGAAACCGAGTGAAGGGAGAAAATAAAAACAGAAAGAAGTACGCCTAATTTGAATGAAACAACTCGTTTATCTTTTGTTTGTTTGGTGTTGTTTTTTTCTTGTTTCCTGTCAAAACCGCTTTCAAATGAAGAGTAGTAGAACGTTTCAACAACAAAAATCGAAAAATACTACGACTAAAGGTGCATTCAGAGTTATCGATGTCATACATCAAACTGTACTTTTTCCCGACACAATTTTTATATGCATATTCTGATTATTTCAACTGATAATTCTAGTTTCTGTCTGTTTTGTTTTTTGAACACCTTGATGGGATGATTTAAAGAAAAGTTTATCAAGAAAACAGTTGTGATAAGTTCTAATCATCATTTTGGTTTTGGTTGTTTATTGTTGTTATTGTTTTGAATACGATCAGTTTATCGTCTTTTCAGCAATATTGAAGTTAGGCATCGAGTGCTAGGTTAGGAGGGGAAATCATTAGACAAGGCTGTGAAGCTAATTAAGCTAGGTGTTACGTATGCCTAACTGTTGCCTTCTCCGATGGGCAGTGTTAGCTGACTGAGATAGAATGGATCAGGTTGGAAAAGAATCAATGAAATGAAGTTAATGAAATCCACAACAGCTAGTTTAGGCCAGCCAGCAGGCCAAGTACAGATTTTATAGACTTGCTGACTGACTGATTGGGGTCCTCGGAATGTTAAACAACAATGAAGGCTAGAGAAAATTGGTGGTAGGGCTCAAAGTGATCGTTCTCAATGGCTGGCGCAGATGCATTCACTCTTTGTGATTTGTTGTCATATACAATAAAATTTTATTCTTCTTCCATATCACTACTCATTTTGCTTCATATTTCTGTTTATTATCTCCCTCACACACTTTTGAATCTCCTTTAACTCTCGTCTCTTGCTTTGTGTGCTACATAGAGGGAGTGTGGCTACTAGATCTGCTGCACATCTGTGCAAAGTTCTACGTTGAAACCAGTCAATCAGTTTTTTTCGCTTTGTTTAGTCTAGAATTTCATTTAGTTAATACAAGCTGAAGCGCAACAATCTTTATTTACAGTAAAAATGAATTTTACGTTTTGGGATTTTCATCTCAGAAATATGTTTACTATGTTTATCACAACAGCGACAACAATAACAATATAGATAACATAGGTAGGCGAAAACAAAAGAGAAGATGAATGGTTGACATGAGAGCTTGTAGGTGTCTTAAACAATAGTGAAAATAATTGATGACAATGCTGACAGAATATGCATATATATATATATATATATATATATATATATATATATATAGGTTTTAAATGACAAAACACTGAAAACACTGATAAGTTTACGGAGTTAACAAACAGCGAATGTGTTTTAAGCCTCTACAAATAGCGGGAAAATTGAAGTTCGGCATTAGTATGGGCAAGCAATAATTCACACTTATTTTATGATTATGAACAAAATTAGGGATTTTCAACAGCATAACTTTTTGTTTCTATTTAAAAGTTGGCCAACACCTTATTACCAATAGTAATACTAACATCAAAGTGAATTCAGATACTTTGAGTCCTGGTTAAAAGTAATTCCAGGAATTTCTCATAGGAAGCTATGACCAATGGGATCTTCCCGGTTTGGTTGCGATCACAGCTACTCACCATTGTTATTGGCTTTTTTCTTTTCATTTTATTCCTTTACGCTTCGAGTGAAGCACGAGACTTCAAGCTAGAAGCTTTGAAGTTTTGGTAGCATTGGAGTTTTTCTATATTTTTTACGCTAGTGGTCGAGTTGCTAGCGTCACGTGCAACCTTCCCTTTTTACCGGCTTTACGGAGGTTTAAAAGCGCGTCACCCGCTGATCGGACCCTACACCACGTGCGTGGTTGGTGAGCGTTCTAACATATATATACATATATATAACTGTAGGGCTGGGAGGGGAAATTATCGACAAGAATATTCTTTACTCAAATTTTCTCTTATCTCCTAAGTCGGTAGGAGTTAGAATTCATGAACCACTGGATTCCGCTCCATTGCTTGTATGGTCAACAGGTTCACCTCGTAACCTGGAAGTTCCATGGTTCTATCTCCGACGGTGTACACTTCTGAGGAGTCCCAAAGTAGGAAAATCCATCTGTTTGGTACTTTTTAGCTTTCATTGGTTATCTAACTGATATTGATTCAGGATGAAATCTACACTGAAATTGCTCATTGTTATTATGATTGCATGATTGCATTGGTAGCACAGCGGTTAGGACGCCCGCTGACCATGCACATGGTCCGGGGTTCGATCCCCGGCCGACGCACTCCTTTACCTCGGTAAGCCAGAAATAATGTTAATGAAGAGGAAAGGTTGGGCATGAGGCTAGAAATCCCATCCTGTAAACACTGGTACAGAAACTTTGAGCCACTAGCTTGAGGCCCTATGTTCCTCGGGAAACGTGTAGGAAAAAAAAGATTCCGTTTACTGGCTTTATTTTGTTGTAAAGTAAACTCTACTCTTCATGAACACCCTACTGAATTATTCCCTAATTTATTATCCTTCTGTTCACCCTAAAGTTTTTTTTAAATTTATTTTCACTCATATAGACATATCCTCGTGCTTTGATCCCAATCAGTGCTCAAGCTATCCCATCTTTGCATATTTGTTTGGATACAGTAATTGATGTATTTCGAATGAGTGGAGATTATTCAAAAATGGTAATTGACTTTATACGCTTGCTGTTGCTATTATTATTATTATTGTCGCTGCTGCTGCTGCTAGTATTTTTGTTTTTGTTTTAGTTAACTATTCTTGATGTATGTCATTCAATGAACGGAAATTTCAATTGGTGTACACACTTATTTTGGAGGTGCTTATTATGCATGAAATAGTTGACCACTTGAGTGTATATTACTACTTCGAATTCGATCAACATTTTGCTCAGTTTTTTAATTCTTTTATCTTGTTTTTCATTATTTAATTTTTATTTATTTCTTAAAATTCTTTTTCACTTTATGAAATCATTTTAAATTTACTTTTCGTCTCAACTTAGGACTCTTCAATAGTAAGTATTCCCCCCCCCCCTCTCTGGCTACCGTCTTAGTCCAAGTTGTCTACACCATGTTTTTAGATCCCAAGGAGAAGTTGTGTTTCTTTCGACTGGCCGTTAAGCCAGCCATGATTCTAATGAAGAAGGTTAGAAAAGATCAACCACAAAAATTCTACATCCTGACTTATCCTACAGCAGTCGGTAACTGAAGGTAAGGTCTTCTGTCGGAACTTTACCTCCAAGTAGACAGTGTATGACTTGCCGTAAGCAGTTAGTTACCTCTTGAGCTATGTTATCACGCAACAGTAACTCTTTATCTCCTTTAGAGACTCCAAGAAGTGTACTCATCAGTTTCATACTTCTTGTTGATTGAATATATAAGGCTAATACTAAAAATGTTTCCGACTATAAAAATTAAATTCTCAATTGCCTTTCCTTGCAGCATATAAATTTATGTTCTATCTGCATATCTGGAACGCGTATATTACAAAAAATTAAGAGCTACTCGCGTATTTTTTAAAAATATTTTACATTATTGTTAAATAAAAGCGAAAGTCAACTGACTTGTACTGTGAACGTATCGATCGTTTAAAGTGGTTAGAATACGTGGCACATATGTTGAGCCATCAATTTCCTCGATAGATGATGTTACCTGAATTAAGATTTATCAGTATAGGAGACAGAATCTTTTGAGATCAAAATATGTCACTGAACCATGAAATCATTGACTTTTGATGTAAACCACGTAGAGAATTTTAGGCCGAGTGACTGAGATCATCGGGATACTCACACATGATTTAAAACCATTGATAATGATGTGCATGTATTGACTGATCGTGTTCTGGATTCTGAAAATGTTCAGCAAACGTCATTTAATTGTTCGATTCATCGTACTTGTGTTTGTCTTTTTTATGGTACTGTTCCCTAACTGTTCTTTTAAAGACTATTTTGTGTTGTGTTGAAGTGCGGAAATTTGAATTGGTATACTTCTGTGCCAAGTTATGCGTGAGTTTGTCCATTGAGTCAATCAATCAGTCCTTCTCCTTTAAAGGTGATCCAGTTAACTGGAGTATTCGTCTTTCAATTTTGTCAGTTAGCAGGAATTCGATCTTGTCGGCAGCTGACATAATTTAGCCAACTATTGAATACCAGGAAACAATGGACAAATGTTTTTTTCTTAGTGTAAGACTCTTCAGTAGTGCTCACCTACGACCCATTGGTTAACAAAACAGCTGTTCAGTAAACCCTAGCGTTCAGCATACGTTTGTAATAAGCCATTATTATTTTTTGCGTACGTTTATTATGCAATACATAGTTAAACTCTGTTGAAACATAGTAATTATACGTGTATAAATGTCCTAAACATGTAGGTGTATAGCAGGGAATGTTCACTTGACTGATGAAATTCAAATTGAAACAAAACAACACTTGTTAAGTGCCATTCAGTCTTTGTAATATTCATAGTTGACACTTACTCATCATCAAAACAAATCTAGTTGCTTGTGTATTATTATCATCATTCTCTTAGGTTCTGGTTTTTGAATATGTAGCTTCAAAAACCCATAGCTATTTTATTCTAATTTCTGCAGTCCTTTCAACCGGCTCCACGGTTACTCACAGGCTTTTATCTCCTCCATGTCATTCTTAGACGTAGACCTATCTCGTTGTTTTCCGTTCGGGTTTCAGTCAAGAGCCTGGTGTGTGATGCCAACTAACAGTCTCCTCAACGTTTTCAATCAATCCATTTCCATTTAATTCTGCATATTTATTGGTTGGACAGTAAAATCTTGGTTGGTTTGTTGCCTGTCAGAGTTCCTCGCTACTTGTTCTTTATGTCTTGCTATCTGTCGTATCGTCATTATCGAGAGAAGGCAGATGTTGATGAAATTATGCACTAGCATGTGCGTCGGTGGCACAGCGGTTAAGACTTTCGTCGATCACGCATATGGTCCGGGGTTCGATCCCCTACCGACGCACACCTGATATCAATGGTCGGCCTGCAAATTCGGACTACTGATATCGTATGCTGAAAATTCCATACTTGTACCAAAAATAAGGTGTGGAACCAAGCTATAATAATACTCAATCTCAACAGTTTAAAGCTTTCCTAGTTCACTAACCGTTCTAAAGCCTCCTGGAAAGCTGCTTGTGCGTGCATACAGTACATAGTAGAGTTGGGAAATTCAACGAATCAGTCATTTCAAAGTCTGATTTTTTTGGATAAAAAGTATATATACCTATTGTACGCATATACACAAACATACACAGGTAGACATCGTTTTTTTAAATGAAATAAGAGATTCAATGATCCAGATATTATTTCTTATCCTTTGTAGAAAAAAAAATCAACCGTAAAATGACAGACAATTAGACATGTTTTTCATTTATCGCAAAATTGTTTGTATTCCATGTTTTTGACATTTTTATTTAAGAAATGGTGTAAATTGAAATTACTCATTATCTCAGTGCTTTTATTGCTCTTTCGTCTCTCTCTCTCCCTGTTTGTCTGTCTATCTCTTTTTTGTCAGAGAGCAATAGCTTTTACCTTCTGCAAAGGCCATAATATGTGGGAATGTTTAGCATTAGGCCTGTAGACCATATATGTCCTATAATTGACTAAATCTTTATAAATAAATCTGTGTTCAATCTCTTAGATTATCCTATTTAACTTTTAAGTGCCTCAGTTCATATGTCATCATGCTTTCATGCCATATATGCATTGACTCGTGGTAGTGGATCTACATAGAAGTTTACAAAAGAGTATATCACTTAACAAATAAAAAAAATACTACACAGTCTAAAAGAAAACACAAGAGTCCTACGAGAAGGTAAAAGGGGATGTGAAAAAACTGAAAGTTGATACAGATTGACTATGTAGATATCTGTATAATTCTGTTATGAATCTTATTCTTGTCATCAAGAGTGTCGTAATGATCTAACTCATTTAAGCAAATTAACAAGTCAACGGAAGTCAACTCAGTATGAGTAGGAGTTAATTGAGAGAGGAGAGGTGAGTTAAATAAGAAAACCTTTCAGAAGAGCCAATCACACAACGGAATATCACAAGGAATTGCAAAACCTCATTTCATCATATTGAAGTTACAATTGAAGGGCAACAATAAAAACTTCACAAGTGAACCAATCTCCTCAAAGAACACAATATCACCTAAAACTTTACTTTCCCGAATGGCTTATATCATCAACGTTAGTCATTAGTGTTTGATTTCAGTCAATAGATTATTCCTTAAAAACTTGTATATATTGAACATCTATTTTACCCGATACCTTCTTACTGTGTGTAAGAACCTATTTGACCACCTAGATGCATAGTCTGTAGTAGGTAGAGGAGGATTCGGATCTGGGATCGTTTTTTCTGAAAGTCGATTATTCCAGCCAATAAGATTAGTATTCCAAATTTCTTAATGTGAATACGTCCATCTTAATATGTGTCACTGAGCACGATACCAAGATTAAAGGCACTAAGCACTGATTTATCTACAGCTATCCAACACTAAATTTAATTGTCAATTATGAAACAGTATCCTAGATAATTTTAGTCATTTTTATTGTTTCTTAAGGTCAGAGAGTTTAGTTTCTTCAAATTACCCGAACGGTAATTTAAAAAAATTCCCTTCATGTTCCGAGTGGAACGTAGAGCTCCAGGCTTGAAGTTTCATTAACTGTTGTTTCATCTTTTACGATATGGGGCTGCTAGCCTCATTTACAGTCCTCCGTCTTTTCAAAGCTCACTACTGGCTAGCAAACTATGATAATTATCGCCCACTAACAAAGATAGATAAAGTTATACGAGTATCACCACTTACCAACTGTTCATTTCTCAGTTGATGTATTAAATATGTAAAGCTTAACAGTGAATATAGAAAATATCCCCATTTAGACATTTAGAAAAGAGAAAGATTGAGCGAAGAAATATATATTAGAGTAGAGCCAGAGATGAGGATCTAATTGAAAAGTAAATATTTCTTCGCTCAATCTTTCGCTTTTCTAACAGTGAATAGACGTTTCAGTGTATTTGCATCTTCCATCCGTTTCTGTCTTCTTCGTCTCATTTCGCTTTTTCTCTTCAAGTGATGGTTTATAGTGATTCGATTAGCTTCAAGTTTATTGTGGATTGATATCACACAGAGAATCATTGGAAAACTGGGAGTGCCGGACAGTCGTTTCGTCCTAACTTGGGACTCATCGCAGTACTCGCCTATTACCACACTGTGGGTCGATCTCAGGACCTTCAATTTACGAAGACAACTTGCTCACTAATCTGCCAATGGGAGGGAGTTCAATGCCTAATCAGTTCTCACTCCTTTCAATGTGCGATTTTTGTGTTGAATGGTCAGCCAGCTCACCTGGTAACCTGAAGGCCCTAGATTCAGTCCTCGGTGGGGTTCACACGGATGAAGAATCCCAAACCAGGACGAAACAGCTATCTAGTACTGCCTGATTTTCAATGGTTCGCTAACTGATATCAATTTTCTCTTGTCTTGTCTACTTTATAGCTAAGATAATAATAAATACTTGAATTTATTTGGTGTGTTTGAAAAAAGGAAGAATTTTTCCCCGGCTCTTCTGTCAGTCTTCTTTTCAGCTGTTTTTTACTATGAAAATCAGTTTGACAAAAATAATTCCTACGAGGTTTTAGACTTGTCTAAG